GGCAGCATCAGAGGAGCAGGAAAGTTGACATTTTGAGTCGGGACCCTCAATTCTGAAGAAGGGTCCCGACCCGAAACGTCAGCTTTCCTGCTCTTCTGATGCTGCCTGGCCTGCTGTGTTCCTCCAGCTCCACACTGTTATCTCTGACTCCAGCATCTGCGGTTCTTGCTATCTCAAAGGTGTCTATGCATGTTTATTTTTTTTTTTGACCAGTGCTTAGCATTCATAATCATCAGTGGTGGAAAGAAAGGCTGTAAAATTCACATGGGCTAGCATGCTATCGAAGGTAGAATAAGTAATCTCTCCAATTTACACAAGATCACAGAGATATTGATGGATGGGAACTGCCAAGGACAGCGTGTACCTGAGCCCATCAAGTTGCTTGGGGTTAAGTGGGCAAAAAGCTGTGCAGTTTGTTCATTTAGGACAGTGGCCTTGCTGGAGGTCTGGTTGGAGCAAGTCCACCCATTTGTTATATTGGCTTGTGCAGTTCTGTGAACCCAAAAGTGGATAAGCCGAAGCTTCCTTCTGCTCTTGACAATGGTCAGTCATTAATAACATGGGCAGTACCACAGACCTGTCTAGTCCAGGTATGTGACTGCCATCTCACGGTGTGATTTGATTGCCTTCGAACCTTCTGTTTCTCGTCACATCATCCAGTCGACACCTCAGAAACGCAGCACACAATGATGAGCAAAAAGATGGGTTGATTAAGCCGAGTGAGGAAGTGTAGATTATCATTCAGTTTCAATGGAGAGTGAAGGGGCAATGTAGCCTGCTCAGTTCTTGTTTTGTACATTCTCGTGATGTTTTAATATTTGGGGATTGATGTACTTTGGAGTGAGGGGCCATGTGTTTGAACATTCCATGTGACAGATCACCTTTGGGCTGAAACCAGCTTACGTTTTGGCCAAGAGTTAGTTTTGACGTGTTTCACAGAGGGTTTCTCTCCATGAGGTCTAGTGAGTTCCCTCGCTGCACCCCATTCCCAATGGTACTCACCTGGTCAGACTCTAGCCCCATTCTACCACTGGTGGGATATCCCAGAATCAGCTGGCATCCCCGGTATCGCTGCCCTCTTTAAAAGCTCAGTGTGCATCCAGAGCTGCCGTACACAGTTGGTGACATTTGCCCAGGACATAGCCAACAAGAATAACTTGGTGTCTCACATTATAGGCAGGGGCCTGGAGGTCTTGCCGAAAGTGGTGGTCCAGAGGTAAATAATCTAAGGTCTAGAATGGGGGCTTGAACCGAAATCCGACTGTAATATAGGAAAACTCCAACTCCAGCAATAACAACATTTTGGACTCTTAATCCAATAAATTATCAACGCATGTCACTGGAGGATTAGGAAATACAAGTTGACACTGAGCCACAAAAGAAGACACTTGAGGTTATGTGGGGGAAATCAAAGCTTGGTTGGAATTTGAAATGTTGTGAGCATTTTCGGGCCATGATTGAATGGTGGAGCGGACTCAATGGGCTAAGTGACCTAATTCTGCTCTTATGCCTTAAGATCTTTATGAAAAGGTAGGTTTTAAGGAGGGTGTTAAGGCATATTAGAGTTGCTCAAGGAGTAGAGAGGTTTAGGGAAAAAAATTCCAAATTGGATAGCTGAAACCACAGCTGCCAATGCTGGGAGGACTAGAATAAGGGAGGCAAAACTGTGTCAAGGCAGCACTCCTTCTTTGCTTCCCTGCTTTACTACCTTCAGACATCCTCCTGAGGATCTATCCATAATGCACTGCACTTCCTCGTCTGCTTGCCGCTTCTTGATGACATGACATACAAATCTGATGTCAGCTGCTACCCATTCTGATAGCACTCTGCCTTGCTGCCTGTTTGAAGTCAAGTCAAGGAACAGTCACAAGTTGTGCTAACCTGATATCGGGGAGCTACCCTTTACGGCTGCTGGGATAAATTCTCCTTAATCACCACTTATTCCACCACATCACCCCTACTCCCAACACCACAGCCATTCATTTGGGTTCACCGAGAATGTACTTTGTGATGCTTCTTATAGCAGGAGCAAGATATAAGTCCCAGTTGTTTCTGTCTCTCTGCCTCCTTCTATTTTGTCCCATTCAGCATGTTATACACCAGCTTTTTTCATTCATTTGTGGGATGTGTGCTTTAATGGCTGGCCAGCATTTATTGCCCATCTCTAGTTGTCATTTAGACGGTGGTGATGAGCTGTCTTTTTGAACCACTACAGTCCACCAGCTGTGAGTTGACCCACAATGCCATTAGCAAGGGAATTCCAGGATTTTGACCCAGTGACAATGTAGGAACAGTGATACATTTCCAAGTCAGCATGGTGAGTGACTTGGAAATGAACTTGAAGGTGGTGGCATTCCCATGTATCTGCTGTCCTTGACCTTCTACATGGAAGAAGTCATGGGTTTGGTAGGTGCTGTGTGAGGATCTTTTGGTGAATTTCTACAGTGCATCCTGTAGATAGTGCACAATGCTGCTGTCAGGACATTGTTATGTACGATTCCATGAGTGCGACTGTGTCAGACTGTTGCTTGACTAGCCTGTGAAACAGCTCTCTCAATTTTAGCATGACACTCCAGATGTTAGTGAGGAGGACTTTGCAGGATTAACAGGGCTGTTTCTGCCATTGTCCTTTCCGGTGCCTGGGTTGATACTGGGTGGTCTGTCCATTTCTCTGAGATTTTGTTACAATTGATACAACTGCATGGCTTGCTGGGCCATTTCAACAGGCAATTGAAAGTCAACCACATTGCTGTGGGTCTGGAGTTACATGTAGGCCAGATGAGTTGAGGATGGTAAATTTCCTTCTCTGGAGGACATTAGTGAGCCAGATGGTTTCTTCCAACAATCGACAGTGGTTTCATGGTCATCAGTGCATTCTTAATTCCAGATTTTTTTTTTACTGAATTCAAACTCCACCCTCTGCCATGATTTGAGGCTGTGTCATCAGAACATTAGCTGAGTTTCTGGATTAAAAGTCTTGTGATAATACCACTAGGCCATCACCAGTTGAACTAGATGGTCCCTGTTGTTGCAATCTATGCACTAGTTTCAGTCCTTGTCACAGGTTTAATTCACATTGCTTTGAAATGTCTGCTCCACACTTCATAACCTTGCTACCTTTCTTTCTGAATCATTATACCAGGATTCATTAATTATGCTCAGTGAGCATCCACTTGCAAACAGACACCCATAATCAAATGCAGAACAATTGGAACATTGAAGCCTACACTCCCACCATCATACTGCTCAGTTTCTCTCTTCTGGTCAAGGGCTGATACAGGAATTGTTTTAAAAATCAACCTGTTCAGAGATGTTATCACACACCTCTGGGGATGATGGGACTTTGAACCCAGAGGGACCTTTCCACAGTGTCAAAAAAATTCTAGGGCCTAATACATGCTTGTGCATTTTTCCACGTGGCGCCAAATGTGATTTTCATTTTACATACATATACACAAAGGAAACAGGTACAATTTTGGAGGTGAGAACATCTCGTTTTATTCAGACGTCTATAAACCCCAAAAAGATGCAACTCGACAGTGGAATCTGGTCAGTTCAGTCGACTCTGACCAGATGTTCTGGGGTCACCAGCAGAGGTTAACAACTCCTATACTTCCTGGGATCCAACCTGGGAACTTGCTGAACTATTGACCGCAACTTCATCTCAGGGAGTCAATCCACAACATACTTGACAGTTACATGGTGTAAAACACCCAGGATTCCCCAGTGCCCACACCAGCACAGCTCGGAATAGCTTTCCTTGTTGCTGTGAACAGTGTTGGTCTAAACAATGACCACAGCAACTGTGAGAATTGCAATCTCTTTGTGCTGATGGCTTATCAACAGCCTTGGGTTTGTCAGTGAAGTTAAGTGCTCTCCAATCAGAAATATGGGCAGACAAACAGGAGGCTGGAGGAACACAGCAGTCCAGGCAGCATCTGGAGGAAAGGAGCAGTCAATGTTTCGGGTATTAGCCTTCTTCAGGACTGGATGTGGGAATAGGGAGGGGTTTCACATAAAGGGGTGGGGGAGTGGGGTAGCGGAATGGTGGTGACAGGTGGACACCGGTAGTAGGTACAACCTGATTGGTCGATGGGAGGGATGAATCCAGTTGGTGGCTGGAGGGGGGGGCGTCAGAAGGGGGAATGGAAGGGAGGAGGTGGGGCCGGAATGGGAGAGGGGGATGGGTGGGAAGTTTATTTTAAATTAGAGAACTCAATATTGAGTCCTCCCGGGCTGTAGGGTGCCCAGGCAGAAGATAAGGTGTGGTTGTTCAAATTTGCTTTCTGAATATGGGCATATGCTGCGATCACAGTGTCAAGGACCCGTGTTCAATTCCAGCCTTGGGCAACTGTCTGTGTGGAGTTTGCACATTCTCCCTGTGTCTGTGTGATTTTCCTTTGGGTGCTCTGGTTTCCTCCCACAGTCCAAAGATGTGCAAGTTGGGTGGGTTGGTCATAATAAATTGCCATAGTGTTCAGGGATTTGTACATTAGGCGGGTTATAAGGTGATGGGTTTGGATGGGTGCTCTGAGGGTCAGTGTGGACTTGTTAGGCCAAAGGGCCTCTTTCCACACTGTAGGGATTCTATGATTCTATAACTGAATTCATTTTGCAGCCATACTGACTGAATTGGGGTTATTTTTGGGGAGTGGAGGGAGCAGGGTAAGAAGATTACCTTTCAGGTCCAGGTTTTTGGCACCGTTGATAACCTGAGTGACAGATCGAGCATCCACCTTGAGAGTGTGCGTGTTGCTGTTATCCCGAGTAATGACTACATTGTGCCACTGATTGTCACTCAGGGACTTTTTAGAGTTCCCTTTGATAACATTTGGCCCATTTCCCAGGTCAAACACATAGTGGATGTACCTGCAGAAGGAGAAAGGTTTGCCAAGTTAAAAAAAGAAGTTCTGAATGAATGATTTATTTATTGTCACATATATCTTGAAGATGCAGTGTAAAGCGTTCTGGAGAATGGACTGGGGAACAAAGGATACCAACTAGCATGCATTAAGAATAGTAACAGTACGTATCGTAAATTGCAACTTCAAGTTAGAATTACAATAAAACAGTACACTGCTTAATAAAAAAAAAACTTTTTCATATTAATACCAAACTTAAGAAATAGAAAAATTGTTTGAGCAATTAGCAAAGACTCAATGTTTAATTTCAATTCAACTTTTCAAGAAAGCACTCATGCATTTACTTCCCCTTTCAAAAGCATTGTCTTTCCTTATAGGGTCCAGGTATCCCGCAGCTTTAACACTGCAGAGTTCCAAAGAAAGCACTTGTATTTGTACACTTCCTCATTATGTCACAATTCACAGTGAATTCATTCAAACATAGGATGGAACTTGAGCAACATGGGCAACTACAAGAAAGTCGGTAGAATTGTGAGCGCTCAGCAGTGAGGAGATCCCTCAGGTCGGGAGCAAAACATTCTGTTTCCCAACCAACTGTCAAAGGCGAGACAAGATTCTCACTCGTGAGCGGCGAGAGGACTATTTACATGCGCTAACATCCTTGTAATTATGTAACCTTGCCTCATTGATACAGTTTCACATTTTCCCACATGCTGGATAGAAACGAGACAGTGACCATTCCCACCATGAGGGTCAGAGTGGTAACCATTGCACCCCCCCCCCCCACCCTGACTTGCTCCTCCAGACCTCTATCTCAGACACCAACATCTCAGGGCGCACCTCGGTGGGCAGTGGCTGTGCATGACCCCTCCCCACATCTACCAGGATCTTCAGGTCTGTGTTGGCAAAGTGTGGTGCCTCTGTCCAACACATCTGGAGTAATTGGCAGGGGCTGTGCAGCGCAGCTGCGGAATGCCAACATTTGGCCAGGTGTATGGCTGATCTTTAATGATGGACTGGCATCAACAATCACAGGAAATCCTGGCAAAGGCCAGTATCTTAGTATCCCTACAATGCAGAAAGTCTACATCAACTTTCCAAAACCAAGCCCCCATCCAAACCCCATGTGGGATTTTTTTTTTTAACCATGGCTTACCCATCACCTTCTCAGGGGCAATTAGGGATGGATAATAAATAAATACTGACAGGATGTTTTCCGCTTTGGGAGAGACCAGAAGTAGAAGACACTGTTTAAAAATCAGGTGTCTTTCATTTCAGATGGAGTTGAGGAAACTTTTTTATTCCCCCTGGAAAAAGAGGAAAATCTCTTTGGACCACTCTTCTCCACAGACATTTGAGGCAAAATCATTGAATATTTCTAAAGGGAGAAATAGATAGCTTCTTGACCAACAAGGGAGTCAAATATTATCATAGGTCGGTAGAAATAAGGAGCTGGGACTACAATCAGAGCAGCCATGATCTTGATGAATGGCCAAGCAGGCTTGAGGGGAGAAATGGACTGCCCCTGGTCCTGATTCGTGTATTTGTATGAGCTATGGACCAACAGAAGAGTAGCCAAGCCATCAAATGATCCAAAAAAAAGTCTCCCTTACCCTTTAACTAATTCCACAGCAATGAAGTCATTGCCATCTCCGCTGTTGAAGAGAATGAATCCATCAGGAGATGTGGTCTTGAACTGGAAGAAGAGATGCATGGATGTGTACGCCTGCAGAGTCGCCAAGGTCAAATAGCTGTTCTTGGTTTTGAAAGTGACGGGATCGGCAATAATGGACCTCATGCCGAACCTGGCATTTATTTCGCAGTATTCAATGTCCCCGTTTTTGCACAGATCTATGTACATCATTCCATTAAACATCAAGCTCTGCAGGTGCCCGATGAAGCTGGATGGCGCAACAGAGATGAAGCGCCGTTCCGTCATGATCCCAGTCTCGATATTGTGAAATTCCAGCCGTGTGTGGTCACCCAGCATTTGACCTAAAATCACCAAATGAAAGTACAAAGTCACAGCTCATATTCCAACCCCTGCTTCCCCCAAACACTTTGTAGGCACTGCATGCGCCAATTCAACATCAGCTTCCTCCTTTTTACCATACCTTCCGAAACTGCCACATGTTTCAAATTCATTCATTCATAGAATGTCAATGTTGTTGGCTAGGCCAGCATTCATTGCTTATCCCTAATTGCCCAGAGGGTAGTTAAGAGTTAATCACACGGCCATGGGTATGGAGTCAGACATAGACCAGCACAGGTAAGGATGGCAGTTTCCTTCCCTTCATCAGGAAGGGCTAGCAGCAGATACATGGGTACACTACCCCCTGCAAGATCCCCTCCAAGCCACTAACCATTCGGATTTGGAAATACATCGCTGTTCCTTCAACGCTGTTAGGTCACCATTCTGGAACTCGTTTCCTAACAGCGCTGTGGATGATCTATGCCACAAGGGCTGCAGTGTTGCAAGAAAGCAGCTCACCACCATCTTCTCCAGGGTGCTCAGGGATGGGCAATAAATGTTGGCCCAGCCAATGATGGTCATATCCCATGAACAGAAAAAGGGGTGAAACAGGGCCAAGTTCAGCACGAACAAGATACACAGTAAACCTTCTATTACGTTGCCCTAATAAAGTTTTGTTTATTTTCCATTTATTCATTGACAGGGCATAGGTGGACTTTGATGGCAAAACCAACATTCATTATCTACCCCCAATTGCCCTTAAGAAGATAGAGATAATAACTGTGGTTAGGCTAATTGTTAGGCAGTGAAAAATGAATAGTATTGTTGTTGTTTCTGAGTCACAGATGAGTCACATTGGGTACAGGCAGCTGATTTCCTTCTCTAAATGTCATTAGTGAATGATTTGGGTTTTTTTTACAATATTTCCATAGTCTCATGTTCATGATTCGTGATATCGACTTTTCATTCCAGATTTTCATCAGCAATTCTCCAAGGTTCCTCAGACAGCACTTTCCAAACGCATGAGCACTTCCATCTAAAAGTACAAGGGCAGCAGATACGTGGGAACTCTATTACCTGCAAGTTCCCCTCCAAGCCACTCACCATTCTGACTTCAATCTATATCGCTGTTCTTGTTCACCGTCGCTGGGTCAAAACAATGGAACTCCCTCCCTTAAGGCAATGTGGGAGTACCTACAAAAAATGGATTGCAGTAATTCAAGGAGACAGGCAATCACCACCTTCTCAAGGATAACGAGGGATGGGTAACAAATGCTGGGCCAGCCAGGAATGCATACATCCCCTGAATGTATGACAAAAATGTTTTGAACTGAATGTTCATGCTTCAATGAGCATGTTGGGATTGAACCTGGCCTCAAGATTACTCGTTCAATAACATAACCAATACAGCAATATGCCCAATAGAGTGCTTCAATCACTTACTCAGGGCATCTTGCAACTGTGTGAACCATTAATCTTCCTTAATTACTGTGCTGAGATTTATAGTCTGGGACCAACACATGCCATTAGATCCCATGGACTTGCTCTCTAATGCATCACTCTACTCAGAGTCATGGAGTCATACAGCATGGAAACAGACCCTTCGGTCCAACTAGTCCATGCTGAATATAATCTCAAACTAAACTAGTCCCACCTGCATGCTCCTGGCCCATAAACCTCCAAAACCCTTTACTATTCATGTACTTATCTAAATGTCTTCTAAACGTTGTAATTGTACCCTCATCCACCACTTCTTCAGGAAGTTCATTCCACATGTGAACCACCCTCTGTGTAAAAAACCTGCTCCTCGTGTCTTTTTTAAATCTCTCACCTGTCACCTTAAAAATGTGTCCCCTAGTCTTGAAATCTCCCATCCTAGGTCAAAGACAACTACCATTAACTCTATCCCTCATTATTTTATAAACTTCCATAAAGTCACCTCTCAACCTCTTTCGCTCCAGTGAAAAAAGTCCAGGCCTATCCAGCCTTTCTTTATAACTCAAACCTTCCATACCCAGCAATATCCTGGCAAATTTCTTCTGAACCACTCTCCAGCTTGATAATATCCTTCCTATCACTGGTCAACCAGAACATGACACAAAATTCCAGAAGTGGCCTCATCAATGTCCTATACAACCTCAACATGACTTCCCAACTCCTATACTCAAAGGACTAGGCAATGAAGGCAAGCGTGCCAAATGTCTTTTTAACCATCCTGTCTATATGTGATGCAAACTTCAAAGAATTATGTATCCTTTGGTTCCTCTGTTCTACAACACTACCCAAGGCCCTTCCATTAATTGCATAAGCTGTACCCTTGTTTGTTGTACCAAAATGCAATACCTCACATTTATTCAGATGGAACTCCATCTACCATTTTTCACTCCATTGACCCATTTGATCAAGATCCCTTTGTAATCTTGGGAAACCTTCTTCACTGTCTGCTTAGTTCCTACTCACCCACTGACTTCATGAAAGTAATCCGAAATCAAGTCTGTGTCCTGCTAACGCAAACTGCAGCCTGGTACTTCAAAATCAAAATTAATCATTAACAAAAAGTCACTCAATGCATTATTTAGAGTGGTACCAAGCCCAAGGGTATGTTTACTGCACAACTGTAGAATCAGTTGATATTGTAATTGCTCCTTGGGAGGTCTGAGAATTTCCTTACATTCGACAGGTTGTATCCTTGGAGTTTAAAGAGATAGCTACAGAGACAGCGGATGCTCTGATCATAATCTTCCAGGAATCCTTACATTCTGGAAAAGTCCCATGGAATTGGAAAACTGCCAATGCAACAAAAAAAACACAACGGCATTGCAACTGAGATGCTCCACAGAGGAGGGAATTCTTCCTTATCTTTATAGACCTATGTCACCGCTGAGCTTCACAATTAATTTACACTCCGAACTTGAGTGCTAGTGCAAAATTTCCATGTAATTTTCACTTTGAGCAACACTGGTGGACTGCAAATGCACTTCAGAGATCACCATGTTTCTTGGTTCAATTACCTGACCATAACCTGTGCTATGTCACCACAACTATGCTGCTAATCCAGGTAACGGAAGGGTCAAACAGTTTACATCCAGTTTCCGATTGTTATCATGAAATCCTACAAGATTACAGTGCTGAATTAGAAACAGAAATTGCTGGAAAAAAAACTCAGCAGGTCTGGCAACATCGATGGACAGAAAGCCATTCTGAAGAAGAATCGCTGTAGCCGCAACATTAACTCTGCTTTCTCTCTATAGCTGCTGCAAACCTGCTGAGTATTTTTTTCCAACAAGTTCTGTTTCTGTTTCTGTTTCTGATTGCCAGCATCTGCAGTTCTTGCGGGTTTTTTTTTGTACAGTTCTGGAAATGTTGTGGTTAGACAAGGTTTAGTTTGGGGTCTGATGTTCTTGAAACAAATTGTTGACTGGACTTATGTTGGAAATATGGAGGGTTGCAGCATCAAGAGAGGAATGAAAGATGAAATGACCAGCTTCTGAAGACTTGTAGCTTTGGTAACAATTGCAAGTTTCCATGAAGCAATTGTAATGAGAAGTGTATGTGACATTTCTTCACACATATTTCAGAATAAAACTTAAAAATGTTGCATATCTTTCACTATATATCTGAGATTATCATAAAGGACTCTCCTTCTCAACCATTTCCCTCGCCTGAGACATTGTGACCCTCAAGTTAAACTACAACCAGTCATCTCTCTCTCTCTGATGAAGGGTCTAGGCCCGAAACGTCAGCCTCTCTGCTCCTATGATGCTGCTTGGCCTGCTGTGTTCATCCAGCCCTGCACCTTGTCATCTCTCTCTCTCTAATGAGAGGGCAGCCCTATGGTCCGGTAGACTGTGGTCACTTTACCTTTATATATCTGCACTGTAATCCTCTGTACAGATTCAGTTCCAGATTATAACAGCAAGTACAGAGGTAAATTGAATTTATTGGTAAGGCAGAGCAATTCAGGAAGTTACCAAACAACATTGCTCTTCAAAATCGGTGAGGTGTTAGAGATTTTCCAAAGATATGATACAATGCTTCTTCAGGCTCACCACATCTCAGGCAAGGGGAAAGGCTGAGATGGTGGGGCCTTCATTGTGATCCTCCGGAATGAGACAGCAGCCTTGTGGTCCTCTGGGACAATGGTGATTTTACCTTCACTTTACAGAAATGGAATGCATTGTCAAAGATCAATGTTGTAATTATTTTTGGAAGTTAAAGATCAAGTATTCTTTTCGTCTTCTTTTGGAAGAAGAAACTTACTTTAAACGAACTTTGTAAAAACAATCGAAGGTAACCTGCATATTAACAAAGCCATTGACTCTTAGAACAGAGAAATGAGGGAGATAAGAGATATTGTAATTTTGGAGTCTTGGTAAAGAGAGGGAATAAGAGATGATGCATTCAACACAGCAAGAAGGGAACACACATAAGACAAAGATCTAGGACTGAGAAGGACCAGAGAGAAACAAATCAGCTAATGGAAGAGTAAATGCAACCAATAAAATAAGTGGGCAAGGTATGTTCCAATGGAGATCAAAGAAGAATTTGGAACAAGAAATCAGAGATGGGTCAACTACCATCTTTTCCTTGTAACGTGATCAGGACTACTGGAGTATAAGAGGGTAAGAAGGATTCTGGAAAGGGGAATAAATCGACTATGGTTAACCAAGGAAGTGAACAATAGTATCAAATTGAAAGAAAAAGATACAATATGGCAAAGATTATTGGCCAGAGGATTGGGAAAGTTTTAAAAACCAACAAAGGATGGACCAAAAGGAGGGGTAAAGAACAAAATATGAGGGAAAAACAAACAGTAAGTGTTTCTTTAAAGATATAAAAAGAAAGAAAGAAGCTAAAGTGGACTTGGAGAATGAGGCTGGAGAAGTAATACTGGGTAGCCAGGAAACAGCAGAGTTGCTGGATAAGTACTTTGCATACGTTTTCATAGTAGAGGACAGTAATAGCATCCCAAAAATACTCGATAACAAAGGAGCCAAAGGAGTGGGGCGGGTGAGGAAATAAA